ATAGGGAGTAGTAAAGAAAAAGACTGACAGATAGTTTTGAGGGTTTTATTAATTATGATGAATTTATATACCTCACAAGGAGTGACAAGTTCACTCTTTGAGATTTGCAGATCAACTGAGGAGAAAGATCACGTCAGCGACGACGGCGGCTCGGGAGCTCCGTGCTCGACGTTGCTGTATCCATGGTGATACAGGTGCAACGTCAGGACTTTTCGGGCAGATTTGACAACGTCGAGCCTTCTGGGCCTTATCGCTGACGTCGGCTTTCTTCTCGCACATTTGATATTTTTCTTGAAGATCAAATTGTTTTCTTTATGATACATTTTTTTCAGGTTTTCTTGAATTTTCAGGAGCTGTGGTGCAGATACAGATGTGCTGCCGCGGCTACCTGACTTATTTTATGAGGTTTCTTAACTATTAGCGTTTTTAACGCCGAAAATAACGCGGTTCTTCGCGTTTTTAATTATTTGTAACAAAATATTAGTTTGTTACATTAATACTGCTTATCACTAATTACTTAGAATATAGTCTTGGAAACGTCCGGTTAACAAATCCACATCTCACTTTGTTTAAACTTTTGCCTGACGCTGCGTGGGAACGCGCATCAGTTGGTGGGCGTGTGTATGTGTTGACATACACACACTTCATTTACGTATTCCTATGTAAAAATAAAAAAAATGTAAAAATTAGGGGATTTTTGGGGTCCTATGTGATACGGACGCTTATGAGGAACATACCTGCCAAAAATCGGCAGGTAAATATTTAATATTTATGGATTTGTTTAATAATTAAAGTCGCTCTCCTCTTCATGAGGTATTAGGAGAGCATAAATGCGAGAAGGTATTGTTAGCCGTGCGCCCCACTCTGACCTTGCCGCTTGGCAACCTTAATCCTATTTTATTTGAAAACTACAAATTGCGTAAAAATTTTATAAAAACAATAAGTTCTACCTTAATGGCATGATTAATTTTTATTAAAAAGATCCCTGGGTTGTCAGGGAATCAATTTGATTATACTTAAAATTATAAGATTAAATTGCTAGACACTAAGTCCAAGCGCGTGCGCATTAGCTTTCGCCTGCTGCACGTACATGTGCGTTGGACTTGGTGGTGGTTGTAACCTATCTGTTTAAAGTTGTAGATGTAATAGTATTTTTATTTTCTTTACTTAAAATCTAAGTGAAGTTCGTCAGGACGTAACATAAACAAATTGCCATTTGAATTGCATATTCCTGGTTATCAATATTGTGGACCTGGAACTAAATTACAAAAAAGGTTAATACGTGGAGATTCCGGAGTCAATCCATTAGACGCAGCTTGTAAAGATCACGATATTGCATACTCAGAGAATCGAGAAAACGTAGAAGTAAGAAACGCAGCTGATAAAGTGCTTGCTGAAAAAGTTTGGCAAAGAGTTTTTGCTAAAGACGCGCATTTGAGTGAAAAAGCTGCAGCACTGTGAGTTGCTAATATCATGAAAATTAAATCAAAATTTGGAATGGGTTTAAAGAAAAAATTAGGTAAGGGTTTAGAAAAGAAACCCTTAAGACAGATTGTAAATTCTGTAAAATTAATGATGAATTCTGGTGCAGATCCAATACAATCTGCATTAATAGCTGCACGAAAAGTAGTAAAAACGATTGGTGGAAAAAAGAATGTTCAAGTTCCTCGTGTATTGCCCATACCTACAAAGGTTGGAGGTGTTTTACTCCTTATCCCAATATTTGCCGGTTTAAGTGCTATTGGAGCTTTAGCTGGAGGAACATCAGGTATTGCGAAGGCAGTTAATGATGCTAAAGCTGCTGATCGTCAATTAGATGAAGCAAAACATCATAACAAGAAAATGGAAGCCATAGCCTTCGGTAGAGGTCCAGAGAGCTACCACATCGAGCGTTAACCAATATTGATATTTTGAAGTATACAAAAATCATGAAGATTCCACACTTTGAATCGCACAAGATTGACATTTAACTCGATCCCGACTATTGAGAATGGGAATAATAAATTTTATTATACTGCAAATAATCAAGATAAAAGTATTGAAATTCCAACAGGAAGCTATGAAATTGAAGATATTGAAAATTATTTATAGGAAGCTGATCCTGAATTATCAATTTCTATCAAACTTAACAATAATGAATTGTACAGTGAGATTTACAGTGAACATGTCAGAATAAATTTTAAAACAGATGATTCTATTGGTCGTTTGATAGGTTTTGGTCCAAGACTTATTTTCCCAAAATCTACACAGACGTCTGACTCACCAGTTTCTATCTTAAAAATAAATGCATTGAGAATTGAATGTAATATTACTACAGGAGCATATATAAATAATAAAGTGCACACAATTCATGAATTTTTTCTATCGGTTCCACCAGGATATAAAATCATTGAAGTGCCATGTAACATCATTTGTTTGCCAATCGCCGTGCAAGCAATACATCATCTACAATTAAAAATTGTTGATCAAGACGGGGAATTGGTTAATTTTCGACGAGAAATAATAACGATCCGTTTACATGTGAAATCTGTAAAATAATGGGAATCGTTTATAAACCGATTATTGGAAGGAGTTATAAAACCGAGTTCCCATGCCAAAATATTGTCAGTTTACGACGAAATTTCTAACGACTAAGTCATCGGAATATCTTATTTTTGAAAAGTTTAGACCTAAAGTCACGTGAACAAACGAACTTAAAGTAAAAGTGTGCTGTTTTGCATGTTTTAATACCATGGCTACGGAAGAGGAGACATTAGCTATCAATAAAGGGGTTGTTTTTGATAGTTCTATATCACATTACGAAGTACATATTGTTCTGAACCCATAAATTAACGGCATCGACATTTTCTCGTGCACATTGATTTTTATATGCAATCTCATATAGAGGCGAATCTCTGAGTTTTCTTATCCCTTGACGATGCTTTTCCAAATATGGACAATGTGTTATAAAATCATTAAACATTTTGAAATCCATCCACTCCAAATTGATTATCGGAATATCTAATTTTATTAATCTTTGAAGAAAAAACTTCACCTAATAATCACGTACAAAAATGTAGCGCACATTGTTGAATGCTTCTTCTAGATATTCATTCAATATTTCGTATGATGTATCACCGACTTCCCATAAGAGTCCATGATAGTATCTTTAAGCTTGGTGGATATTCCATACGTCATTGGAGGATAATTCACTATAATCACATGATCGTTTAAATAAAAAATAATATAAACAAGTTACGTCACATTGTAACAATTCACAAGAAGCCAACTCTTTAACAACAACTTCCCCGCTGAAGTAACGATATCCTTTTATATCAATAATTAAATCCATGGTAACTACCTTTAGTCACATTAAAACTAACTTCTATTGCAAAGGCTCGCATTTATATTAATAAAATAAAACGCAATATAAAATAAAGTGGAGTAAAGGGAGGTAAAAACAGGATATGACGTATTTTCTAAGAATTCACAAGAAAAACAAGGAAATGCGTCAGTGAGAATGTTTTATAAATATTTACTGATGAGGTTATTCAGCTCCAGAAATCAATTTGATTCATTAAAGAGTAAAAAAAAATTTGTTATACATACAAATTGATTTAATCATATTAGTGGCTCGGTAATAAATTCTGATAACAGATGAATATTCTTTGATTTTTTATTCATAGCGCTTTCCGTACAAAAATTATTTAATTATTCAATTATTTTATTATAATTCAATTATTTATATTGACATTACTTTGAATGAGATTAGTTATCAAAATAAATCATTAATTATAATATTAATGATTTCGGCTGCAGGTCGGTATGGATTTAACTAGCAAGGACAATCGGTAAAATTACAGGCTGTACAAAAATACATCATGACTTTGCAAAAAAAAAACAAAATTACCGACTGTAGGTAGGCACAGCGCCATCTAATAGAAAAATATCAATCGTCGATCAAATGACCGACTGCAGGTAGGCACAGTGCCACCTGACAGCTACAATAAAACCAACAACCGGTAAGTTATCGGCACACCACAGTCAGTGAAAAAGGCAATACCGGTGGCCAGTAATACAGTCGGTAAGTTACCGATAATATGGAACAAATCTGTCCGGTTGGTATTGCAGATTGCAATAGAACCCTGTTATAACTATTACCGTCCTAAGTAACGTAGCTAATATAAAGATATCTGAATATCTTTGTTAGGAAATGTTCTAACAACTTTAAGATGTCTTTAAGTTGTCAAAAAGATATTATTTATGAACTATATTTCTTGGCCAAATGTTGAAGAGTATGTCAAAATTCAAAATGACTGAAAAAATGTAATACTAGTAAATTTGTTTAATTAAAATATATAATTATTATTCATTCAATATACAAATCTCACTCAGTACAGTTTACTGAGTACGCTCATTCATTTATAACTTTATTAAAATTTCAAAATATTTTTCCAATATGAATATGAAATTTACTAATTATAAGTTTTCATATGATACTACTATTATTAATTAATTAATGGATTATAATGATATTTAAATGTTTACATACTTTTCAATTATAAAAAAATGTATCTCTATGATTGTTAATTGCTTAGAGATTCTAAACATTATAAATGTATAATTTATTAATAATTATTTAGGGATCTTAAAATCCGTATAAAATTACAAGCTACAAATAGGCCTTGTAGTCAAATCAATGTAAGACTAATGAAAGAGTTACATATGTGGCCTACATTAGTTATTCACGTATGTCTCTAACATTTTCCAAGCGCATACATACGTGAGGTTTTTGTTTAGTTAGAAATTTAATGTAAGCAAGTAAACGGTAAAGCCAGTTATCAACAAATAACATCAATAGTGTTAGATAACATATGTAAAAAATATGATTGATTGATTCACATCAACGATTGTTGTTCATTTGAAAATTGGTATACTTTTCAAATTATTCGATACAAATTTACTGTTTTTCTTGCTCATTTTTATTCCATTACATAGTTTTTTATTTTTTTTTTTATTTCTTTTATTAAAGTTGAATACTACTTTCAATAGTGCCATCTAAATCTTCATGATCATCTTGAATAATATCACTAGTTATTGCTTCATTTAGATTATTTTGAGATTGAATCTTCTGACGATGATGCATAGCTGCTTCTTTGCAGAGTTTTTCTGCCATTACACTACCAGTTTGCTCAATCATTTGACAAAATAGACTGTTTTTTTTCTTGTAAATCAAGTTGTAAGGGCTGTCAAATTCCTAAATAGTAAAGAAATTAATATATTTAAAGGATATAACATAGAATTATAATTAAAATGTTTTCCCTGATGGATTCATATCAACTGTTAAATGAGAGTTGCAATTACGTTAATAATAAACTTAGCGTTTACTTTGAGTTATTTTAGCATAATTTTACCTAAAAATAACCATAAATCAATTGTAAATAATGTTAGAATGTGCAATTTATTAACTATGAGTTAACTATTCATAAACGGTTGCTTGAGAGTTGATTATTGGTCAATTGAACGTTATATCAACCAATAATGAACAAATGTGGTTAAGCGTTGTTTCTTTTTGCAACTGCACATGTTGCTTTATATTTTAAAAAAAAAAAAAGGTTGCATTCGGGTTAACAGTTAATTAAACAACTGTTTTTTATCGCACTTTGTGACTGTTGTTTTAAAGTTAAAAATTAGTTCCCTCAAATCCATCAGAATTCATAAATACTAGAAATATAACGCGCGCTCTCTTAAGTGCCTTGGCAGCAACGGAAAAAATTATTTTATTTATATTTTTATTTATTTCGAAAATTTAAAAATAAAATTGACCAATTGATGCACGAATAAAATGGTTACGCTTTTCTGATTGGTCGATTTAATTTTGTATTCTTTAGTCATTGTTTTTTGGTATTTCTTATGGTAATTTGAAAGTTTTTTTTGTTATTATCATTATTGAATTGTAATCTCTATGATTTTATAAAAAAAAATATTATAAATATTTAATTATATTCACACGAACGATTTTTGTAATTGTATCTCTTTATCTGACCGTAAGTCATAAGTTTTAATAGATAGGATTTACCATAAACTACTTAATTTTTACCCATTAAAAATGATTTTGCATATGTTGTAAAAAACTTACTTTCACACGACCATCATCCATCACTAAAACGCGATCACTGTCAATGATAGTATTTAATCGATGTGCTACTGTAATTACTGTATAATTACTGAATTTAGAACGAATTGCTCTTTGAATTAAAGCATCAGTCCTGAAAAAATTACTCTTATTATTTTAGTATAAACAATTAAAATTATGTTTACTTAGCATCTGATGAAAATTAACTAATTCACTGCAAATCCGGAAAAATTCAAGTGTTTAGTGATAAATCACTTAAAGTAAGTGAGTATTTAATTAATTAAATACCTAAATGTTTACAATGTTGATCACCATAATCAAACTTATAAATCTTATAAGTTGATGCTTATACTTATAATCAAAAATTTCCATAGTTCATTTATGCTGTTTAATATTTGCAAACACTTGGATTTGCAGTGTTGATATTATTACTAGCCGCGAAAAAATAGAATATATCTGCACAGATCCACATTTTTGCCATTTTTTAGATCTCATTTGATCTACTCATATCTAAAAAACTGAAGAAAATTTGATCCAAGTAAATCTATGTATATCTACAGAGATCACAGAAGATCTAAAATGATTAAAACAGATGTACACAGAACAGAGTAGATCTAATTGTGCCAAAAATAGATCTACGTTGATCAATGTAGATCTATTTTATTTTTTCCCGGGTGTTTATAAATTTAAAAACATTTTACCGTGAATCAATATTAGCAGTAGCTTCATCAAGTACTAAAATCTTATTATTCCTCAACAAAGCTCTAGCAAGACAAATTAACTGTCTCTGACCAACACTAAAATTGGTACCACCTTCAGTGACCTTTTGATCAAGAATTAAATCACTCAGTTCAACTTCTTTAAGTGCATCCCATATCACATCATCGGTATATTTGCCGAAAGGATCAAGATTATAACGTAGAGTTTCAGAGAATAGAACTGGTTCCTGAGGTATTATTGATAAATTTGACCTGAGATCATCTAAATTAATATCTTTCGTATCAACACCATCTATTATTATTTTTCCAACTAGTCCATCATTCGCCAGACGAAATAGAGCTGTTATTAGTGATGATTTTCCTGCGCCTGTTCTACCTACGACTCCTACTTTCCAGCCTGATTCTATCACCAAGTTTATGTCCTAAAATTAATGTTTTTATTTTGTTTTAAAAATCATTGTTTTTAACTTCAAAAACATTTATTTACCTTTAATACTGCCGGATCATCTTTTTTATAGCTCAGAAAGACACTTTTAAATTCAATTCTTCCTTCAGAAGGCCAACTTTCTGGTGCTGGTTGAGTATTTCCCGAATCTTCTTTAGGTAAATTAGTGTATTCTAATATTCTTTCGACACTCGTCATTTGAGCTTGCACTTCAGTACTTTGTTTTACTCCATATTGAACCATTCCTGTTAAAATTAAAGCTTGAGATATTGCTAGACCAACAGCAGCTCCAGTCATATTTTCTAAAAATTGCATTCATTTGATTAAGTTTGATTTAATATTGCTTTAATCAAGAATGAGTTGGTTGAAGCTTACCAGGACCAATACTAATAAGTGAAAAGCAAACACAGCATACAAATATACATGAAACAATGTCCACAGCGAATCCAAAGGCAGTTGAGGTTGCTATGAGTAAGTACCAAGCTCCTGAATGAGCATCTTGGAACTGGTCGAATCTTTTACGTAACATCACTTCTACTTCATGACCACTACTTCGAACTGTTGTTAAACCATTTAGGGTTGCTGTTATGTGCGAAAATACTGGACTTTTTGCTGAAAAAATTATCAATGATAAAAATGGAAAAAAGTATGCATTATGTTTTTACATTGGGTTGTTAAAGATTTTTAGGATATAGTTCCGTATAGGGGATACCTCCAATTAGGACCAAAATTTTTTTACGTGTTTACCTTCATCATTAATGAAAATCACCAAAAAGATTTTTGGCGCATATGTCCCAGAAATTTTTTAGAAGGGTTTAAAATCTTAGATTTTTAATACAATTTTTCGTAATAAATCAATTGAAAATGACGATATTGATTAACTTAATTACGACTGAAAGTACTAAAAAAGTTCTTAGAACCATCAAATTTGATTTTTTTTTTACAAAAATTTGATTATTTTAGCCTTTTTAATGCAAAAAGCAAAGCAAAAATTTCAAAACAATCTAAAATCTTTTAACCCCCACAAAAATGTTATGGTATATTTGTGTCAAAAATTCCTTGAGAGTTTTTCATATTGCACTAAGGCCAACAAATATTTAAACTTTGATCCTAATCGGGAGTGTTCTTTATACGAAACTCAACCCAATTTTTATTATAATATTAAGTTTAATCAGAGCTAGGCTCAAAAAGCTTTCATTTAATCAATACCAATCTAATTAGTTTTTTGTTGGAAATTTGTTTGTTTCAGACCTTTATTATATACTAAACATGAATGAAATTAATTTTAGAATATTTATTCAATTAGTTGTGGTAAATCTTCATTATAAAACTCAACCTGATTAAAATTTATTTTTTTTTATTTAAAAAACTCAATTGATTCATTCAGGTCTCCACTATAAAACAAAAGTCTCAGATTCATTAACTTCAAGACCCTCATTAAAATAAATGTTATAAATATTTTTCTTCAGAATAAATTTTAATAAAAAACACACTATATCAAATGTTTACCAATTCCTTCCAATCTTTTGATATCTTGAGCAGTACGTAAATAATAATCACGTGAAATAAAAAAGAATATCCCTATAATTAGTATTGGTATTATCATCCATACATTAACGACGATAATTAATATTAAAATTCCTGTCATCACTGCAAATATTTGAACTCCTTCTAACATTGCACGTGACAATATTTCATCCATTGTTCCTGTATCTTTTGAAAATCGATTTAAAATTCTTCCTAAAAATCATCAACAAACAAATTATCTATCAATTCATTAATTATTTTAAAATAAATTATAATTTTTGATCATTACCTGACGGATTAGTATTGAAAAAATACATCGTAGTCTGAAGAATATTAATAAACATGTTATCATGAAGATTTTGACTGGCGTTGGTGCAGATTCTCATAAAGTACAAACTTCTCCATATAATGGAAATAATACAAGTGACTATACAAACTGTATAAATATAAATAGCATGGGTTGTATGTAGGTACCCCTTTTCATCAAGAAACGGTAGTGATGTGAATAATGGAGTATTGACTAGTGCATCATATTGGCTTTTGGTATATTTGCAAGCTCGCTGGGAGTTGTTCAGACAAGTTTTTATTGACTCCAAGTTGGTCCAATATGTTAACCAATAGTCAGCTCCACTAGTTGCTACCTGGGATATCACGTAAATAGAAATGAAGCAGATGAGACTAATAACACTTTCACCTGATCTGAAATACTTGAAGTAGACTTTATTGGAGATCTTTCCAGTTTCCATGGGTTCAGATTCTATACTATCTTGAGCTTCTTGTTCTGCTTTGGATGATTCTTCGAATGTCATCTGAAATATGGTTTTTAATTAAATTAAATTTAATTAAAAACAAAAATTAAAAGAAAAATGCCACTATTACAACTATTAAATAAAAAGTATCTGGAAATTTTGTAATTAATAATATTCTATGTACTGGTCTATTATTTGCTGAATAGTAGCAGAAAAGAAAGACGTATATAGAAAAATTACATAAATGAAAATGTTTAGCCTGATTACATTTGCACCAGATCATTAGTAAAATAAAGAATGGTGATACCAAAGATCATGATAAATGTCACTTACAAATTGATAACTATCTTGAGATCTGACAGAAACTCTAGAATTTCTGGTTGATATCCTTCTAAAAAAGTAGTTTTTCTCCTGAAACTGTTCTTTGTCATTAAACTCATTCACTTCTACATCTTCGTCATCTTTTTCTTCATCTTTCAGACGATTCAGCATGTCATTGAATTCTACACTGGTTTTTGTTAAGATTTCAAAGTTTCCTTGCGCTCTAATCATTCCCTGAAATCAATTTAAGTTATTAAACATGTTTTTTATTTTAAAAAGATTACAAGACACTTACTCTATCCATGACAGCAATAATGTCAGCCTTTTTAAGATGATGGATCTGATGAGTAGCTACAATTCTAGTTTTTCCACTGAGATATTTGAGAATACAGTCTTTGAACAAACGTCTTGCTACTTTAGCATCCACAGCACTCAGGGGATCATCAAGAAGATAAACATCAGCTTGTCGGTAGATAGCTCTAGCTAGATTGATCCTTGCTCTCTGTCCGCCCGATAATGATGCTCCTCTTTCACCAACTATTGTCATATCTCCATTAGGAAATTGTTTTAAATCTCTTATCAGAGAACATGCTTTTGTTACCTGTTGAAAACAATTAGCTAGGCTTTTAGAAAATAAATGTGAATTCAGTCAAATTATTTCTTCTGGATAATTACCTCTTGGTATCGTACTTGATCATAATCCTGCCCAAAAAGAATATTCTCTCGTACTGTAGCAGTGAAAAGCCAAGGATCTTGACTAGCATATGATATCTTGAGTCCAGAATTATCCTGGAAAAACCCTCGCTTTGATTGTAAATCAATATCTTGTTCATTACTGTGTTGAAATAGTCCAACTACTCCAGAGCCAACTGGAAGTTCTTGAAGAAGTAGGTTTAGTAGTGATGATTTACCAGAACCAACTGGTCCCACTAGACCACATAGTTCTCCCTTTTTTATTTTTAATGATACGTCATTGAGTGTTGCTGGTAGTTGGCCACTTATCCAATTTGCTGAGACTCGATTTAATTCAATGTAAACTGCATTTGATGTGGTGGTATTGGCTGACTTTAATTGATAAGGTTTAATTGATTTGATTACTTTTTTTGGATCTTCAATGGTTTTTTTTATTTCATCAAGTAACAAGAACTCCTAAAAATTCATTGATCATTTTAGTAAGATTATTTTAAAACAATCATCGATAAATTAACCAATCAGTCATTCATTGAGAATAGTATTTTTTAATTCCTAAACCTTTAATGACCTTACGATTACATCACGGATTTTTAGTGTGTTATCTAGAGCGTACAGACGATTGTTTTACATTAATTTTTAACTTTAGAAAAATTGTCAAGTATTTTTAAGAACGGAAAGCAAAAAAAAATGATACAGAGAAGTCGAAGTTTAACTACTTAACATCTTAATAGTCGAATAATTATTAGTGACTTTTTTAAAATATTTTCATGTTCTTAAGTTATAATTTTATATCTCGACCTTTAAAATATAATCAAACCTGTCTAATTGCAACTGAAGATATCGGTCTGATGGTCTGTATACAATCCAAAAGGTCCACACGATTAACTTCTTAATATATATTGTAAAATATATATTATATTATTATTTCCTTTTCAGTTCGTCAAAGGTGTCTGGCCAGAGATCCCAGGGCTCCGACCTACCTGAGGCCTGACCAGATGGGATTACCCTGCAGACATCAGTTTGGACGTTTCATATCAGAATTCGGAGGGACCCAAGGATGATCGCTTTCTGCATACGAGTTACGAGAATTTCAGCCTGACTACTACGACAGACTAGTATTGTTCGCAGCTCTGTCATAAAATAGTCTCTTATTCCTCCGAGGGCACTAACTATCGAGACTATCACGTGCGCTGTATATTCGTGATAGAAATTTTTCATGACCTCCATGAGCTCTCTGTAGGGTTCATGTTTACTCCCTTCTTCTGCACGTATATTCGTCTCAGCTGGGGCTAAGAACTCAATGTGTTACATGTGGTTGGTGTTATGGTCAAAGAGAGTAATGTCCGGCTTATTGTGTTTGATGCATTGAGGCGTAGAGAGCGAAAAATATATTATATTTATCATTATTTTCATTATCATTATTATTACTACTGTATTACTATAATTAACAATGTCGAATAATTACTAACAATAATTATCTTTTAACAACAATATTAAATTGTCATGAACAATATTTAATTATTATTAACAACAATTTTTTATTGTTATAGCGTCATTAATACTATTCTCTCAATACTGACACAAGTTTCTTGTGATAATCAAGCCGAAAAGTAACTTCGAACGTACATACGTACCTACACACACAGACGTACCTTTAAAAAACTGTTATATTTGATTTTAAGTATCTTGAAATGTAGAGATGTGTCAAAAGTTGGTAAATTATAACCCTTTACAGAAGCTTTATAGCCAATTATTCCATAGTTTAATGGCCATGAGATAATTAGACAGGTTTGATTGAATGATACTTTGTTAACTTATCGAAACGAAAAATCTATTGTTGAAGTTCATTTCTATTTTTTTACAATACATATCAAGGTCAAGGTCATTCAAAGTATAGGGATAATACTTTTTCACCATTCATTTTGCATACTTCTAGTCTGTCATAGTCATCTTCTCTCAAACCTGTTTTGAAATTTAAAATTGATTATTGTAACTAAATAAAAAAGAAAGTTACCTCGATTCTTTTGATAGAAATCCAAGCTTCTCTAGCCAGAATAATAGCAAGAGGGAAAAAAATGGCCATCACCATTTGTAGAATATTAAAATAACTTGAAAGTTGAAAAACAATATCAGCAGTCATTGAATTCCCAGCAGCAATAAATGAAACAACAGTTAAAAATAATGTAAATCTTTCAGTTATCACAAATAATGAAGTATAAAATCCACGAATATTTGACGATTTATGAATCTTGTCCATCTCTAGTTTCCTTGTTTGAGATACTATCTTGCTGAATGGTTTCTCCCATGCATACATCTTTACCACTTGGATACCAGCTATTAGTTCACTCATCAATTGGACTCTTCTATCAGTTAGCCTGGCTATCAGAGCACGTAAGTTGCCACTTATTTTTGAGAGATAGGTTTGGACTGGAATAGTCAGGATGATAAGACTTCCTAGGGCTACTAGGGAATAGATTCTGATGCTTTGCCACATGATGTATCCAACTACAACTAACTATTAGAAATGATTTTTAGAAAATTATTTTAATAATTTCTTTTTTCTATGCTAGGTGGTAAGACACTAAAATTTAATAAAAAGATTCTTCATTGTCTAGACAATTGAAATAGTAAATTGATATTATAATTTTTTGATTCATAGAAAATGGACTTTATCTATATTCAGACTCAAACTATTTTTCCAGCATATTAATAATTGATTTTAATTTTATTTTAAATTAAACAAAAGCTTCTAGCTCACCTGGATGGGCATAATCCATATGTAATTAAGGTATAGAAATATCAGATCAAATCGAAGTACATCATTGCCTATTAGATTTACTACTTGACCAGCTGCTGTGTTGTCTAGTGACGCTTTACTCAGTTTCAAGCTCTGTTAAATAAATTAAAATCATTATTAATGAATTGCAAGACGTTGAAAGGAGTGTGTTCTAGAAACAAAAAGATATGATAATCAGTTGAATGAATGATTAATGATTTCTTGACTTGCTAGAAGTTTATGCTAGTAGTATAGAGTGAGCACAATAATCAAATTTCAATAGAATAGTTTTCTTGAATTTTTATATCAACAAACCGGAAAGGTGAGTTGAATAATTATTGATAATAGTTCACAGACACTAGTCTATTGATGTTTAATTATATAAACGTGTATTAGCTCAGACTACATATTATCTTGAGAACGAATAGATGATTTAATATGATTTACTTATCTGGTTTATAGCAGGGTTCGGCATTAATATTTTTTTTTGTAGTATTATAGAACGAAATTATCAATTTTATAGCTAATTAACTATTCATCACGTTGATAAAATTATTAAAAATCCATCAAGGATATAATAACGAGTTAACAATGGTGTGTTGAATGTCAGCTGGTTGAGTAAAATACAGTAACATAATTTTGTTAAAAGTTAGTTAATTATGTTAGATAGAAAATTTTTATCTAATCTATCACTTTCAGTACATAAATGTCTTAGTTTATTAACAAATGAAAAAAAAAATTCGTTTTGGTTTTATTAACTAAAAATGGTTTGTTATCTTATGCAATCATTTGAAGAATATTTAACAAAATTTACAAATTAATAAATTACTAGATAACTGTTATTTTTATTCGTTAAGTAAACACTTCCCTAAGTTTGTTAAATAAAGATTTTCCTATAAATTCTTTTAGTTTATCATCAATCAAAGAATGTTTATAAATTATGTTTCTATGCTATCATTATTAACTATCAATTATAGTATATTTATCTTGTAATATTTATTATTAATTGAAGGAATTTTGTTATTAATATTTTTTTTATTTACTATTATCAACTATAAAATATTTTTTAATTATTATATCCTTCTTGCTTTTAATTACTGAAGGATCATTATAAATAATTATTTTTTTTTTCTTTTATATTATCGAAGGATATTTTTTTGTTTATTAAGTAGTTTTTATTAGTATTTATTTGATTTATTTTCGAAAAAATGAATTAAATAATTGGGCTTTATGAATTTAAAAATTAATTTTGAAAAAATATCATTCGTTTTTTGATAAATACATAATTAAAAAGAAAAATAAAGAAATTTAATTTTAATTATAAAGTAGTGTAAAAAAAGATGATATACCTTTCGATAAATAAGTGAACTACAAGCAACTCTGACCCTCATTCCAATTTGTTGACTGTCTAAAAAAGCATGATGTAATATAAACGTCGCTGCAAACGTTATAACAACAAGACCAGCAGCATAACCCAATACTTCATTTTGTGTCATCGGATTATTATCATTTTCGTTGAAATATTCAACAACTAAACTTTGAAATATAGGCTGAAAATTCCGTAGAACTGCTGTTTGAATAAGTGAGAATATTCCGATAATAAAGTAACGAAGCCAGAATGTTTTGAATATAGCTTTTGTGAGACTCGGTTTTAATGGTTTATATTTTTTGGCTGTGTTCTCTTGACGTATTTTATTCTTCTCTGTACATTGTCTTAACTCTTCGTTCCAATTCCTAACAAGAAATATGAATCAATATATAGAAAAATTAATGAATTAATTCGTTAAAGATAAATCATGTATACGTTTAAATATATTTTTTATTTAAACTGTTGTAGATAGAAAAAAATTTTTAAAAAAAATGTATTTTGTTTGAGGATGAAAAACTTTTGTTATGACCATTGTTACGTATACGGAGAGAATTTTTTCACTAAATTTAAGTGCAAAAAGTGACAAGTCTACGCTTTGAAATTTAGAAGAAAAAATATTTCTATTCGATAGTAAATTTTGAGTTCTTGTAAGTAAATTTGATATTTAAGAGGTATCTTAGGAAAAGAATTACTTAAGATAACTCAAAAATTACTTACGACAACCTAACATTCACTATTGAACAGAAATCCCAGGAAAAAATAGAATAGATCTACACAGATCCACATTTTTGCCATTTTTTAGATCTCATTTGATCTACTCATATCTGAAAAACTGAAGAAAATTTGATCCAAGTAAATCCATGTATATCTAATGAGATCACTGTGTATCTACACAAATTACTGTATATCTATGAAGATCTCCATTAATCTCGATGATAAAAAATTTAATATATCTACAGAGATCACAGAAGATCTAAAATGATTAAAACAGATGTACACAGAATAAAGTAGATCTAATTGTGCCAAAAAATAGATCTACGTTGATCAATGTAATAGATCTATTTTATTTTTTCCCGGGATATTTTTACTTCTAAATTTTGAAACGTACACTTATCATTTTTGCTCTTACATTTAGTGAAAAAATTCTCTCCGTGTAATATTCAATATTCTAGATATTATGTGATATAACTAGAAACGAGGTGATTAGATGACTCTCATTAGCTTTTTCATAATTTGTCAATAGTTGATTTTATCTTTTCCGTTACAACATGTTGCTTTTAGGTTGCTCACTAATTATTATCATTAAAACATTCAATTTTTTAAAATTTACGCTAGAAGTTCAACTTATGAATAATTAACTAATCATCAAAAATAATGATTTAATAGTTTTTTTTTGTAAAAAATCGGATACTGACTAAACATTAATTGAAAATGAAAACCAATTTTTGATAATGGAAATTCAACGACCTTCAATGTTGAACAAAGTGAAGAATATTAATGAATTATTAAGATTGATAAATAATTAACAGAATAACTGATAAAGTAACACACGTAAGTTTATTGTTTATTCATAAGTTCATTTGTAAGTTGATGAAGATGTAAATATAAAAGATTATTACGTTTCTAATTTGTTCGTTAATTGTTCTGATTCATCACTTGCCATTGGTGGCCATATATCATCCATTGTTAGACCTCTTTTAGATCCTTTTATAAATAATTTCATTGTCCACCTTAAACAAAATTATTAATAGTTTATTAATGACATAAATTTTGCATTTTGCTTTTTAACATTTATTATTTCCTTTTCAATATTTCTTATAATTTTTTTTTTATTTTTCTTTTTAATCATTTCCTTTGAAAGAATTACCATAATTGTTTTGAATGAAATAAAAGAAAATGAAAATTAATTTATAATGTATACATTGAGGACTAATACCTAAATCTATTTTTTAACAACCTTATAGAAAATGAAACGTTTGTTTTGATAAAAAAATTGATTCACCCTTTTATAATTATAATGATATTAATAACTAATTACTCACCAAAAAAATAATTTGCTTATAGGATTAGCATCGTCGACAGGAGTTTTTTTCTTTTTATTTGCCATTTTGTTCTTCATCTTCATAAAACAACTTCAATCCCAAAACAAGAAAATATTTAACTTCAACTTTATAAAATAATACACAAACAAAAAATCTCATGAATCAAAACTTTAAATTTTCAAAAAAGTAATCAAATATCATTTCAACTATCAACACAAAATACTAGAAAAAATGAATGATAAATCACTAATAATTTCTTGATATTGGGCAACAATGATTGACGAACTAGAGAAATATTATTTCAAAAGTGGAATGAAATGATTGTTCAAGAAGTCGAAAAAAGAAATATCTAAAATACAAAAAAATGATGTAACTGATTGTATGAAGTGTTAACGATTCAACTAGATGTATCTAAATAATTCACTTAGTAAAATGGAAACTTCTATAGTCTAATGCATTCATAGTGATAATATTTATGATTAAAAAGATAGGCCATCATATGAATAGGAATAGCCAAATGTCATTCAGAAAACAAATATATATACATAATGTATACAATTTTATTTTTAGTATCAATTCAAAAATGAAAAATTTACCTTAAACTGGATGTGATGAAATTTTGTTGAGTCATATTTTTTATTTATTCAATAATAAAACTAAATAATATCTTATAATTTTTATTGTGCTCTCACAGACTTTCTTACTAACAATAAAGGCTATTAGTGAAGTGTATAGACGTTTTATATAATTTTATATTTAAATTTTTATATCGTCATCATTGAATATATCGTAGAATATAACATTACACCTGTGTAAAACCGGATATTGGAATAATTAAATAATAAGTCGAGCAAACCTTGGATATGTTAACTCGTGCGTTGAGCTAAGGAACGTCTGATTTCTTGGATCCATTCTGTTGATGTCATCATAACTTGATATGGATATGTTGGATCTTTGCTTTTATTGGATTCATATCAAGCTCAAAAGCTACAATAATAGTACATAATAACTTATTTCTATTGATTATTTAATACCTTTATTTTATTTTAAATGTAATAATGAATTATCAGAATGATGTTAACAATAGTTACTTTATTGATAAAAAAATAGAAATAGAAGAAGAAATGATAGAACTTAATGACCTAGACTTATAGGAATGATTACTGGTGATGAAATATTATTGACAATGACACACGAAAGTGCTAATGATTAAATTAATAATAAATAAATAGTTTAGTTATTTGTAAAGATCTATGAAAATATGCTTTCTAAAAAAAGAATAAGGAGAAATGATTTTTAATTCACTCTCTAAAAATGAAACAGAGAAAGTCATGCAAAATTAGTGGAAATAATATAACTTTTTTGAATAGTTGTTTTATTATAATCAGAAAGTTAGTGAACATTTACTGATTTTTTTGTTGCTTCTATGATTTTCACTTTTTTATTGTAAGATAGAGGGTCAAGTGACAAAGAAAATAGTAAATATATTGATTCAATATCAGGGTAAGTTTCATAGGCTTTCGATCCAAGGTAGATTTTTTTAACAAAATAGTAAAGAAAATAAAAATGAAAAGTATACAATTATTTTCAACAGTTGGGTTATTATAACTGTGAAATTAGTGAATATTCACTGCTTCCACAATCATTTTCAAGATTTCCAATGTTTCATTTTAAGACAAAAGACGAAAGTAAAGTGAAACAATTTATAAGTTGTACTTTTAATGAAATTAGAATATTAAAACTCAAGAAGGTAGAAAACATCAAAATCTAATATTAGTAGCAGTAGAAGTATTAACAAAAATAGTTTTTATTATTAGCCACTAACTTATTAATATTCATTATTAAATTATTTGTTAATAAATTATCAATATTACTAATAATATCTATAAATAAATATAAATCACACAATGTAAATGTTTTTATTTGTTATCTAAAATTTAATTTAATTCAAAATGGATAGGGCGTTTTGATCCAATGCACTGGTTATATATGTATTTGTCATTTCTAGACAATCATTTTCAATAAAATCCAGAAAAATATTCAACACAGTTGGCTTTTAAGCTTATTATTATCATGAGTGATTTGAGAATGATAATTAACATTAAATATAAAATAAATTAATCTAAATTTAATTTAATTTATCTAATGATAAATATTCTCTACATTAAAATTAAAACAAAAGAAGTAAGTTTTTTTTTGTTGTTTACTATCATAAACAAAATTTATTTTTAAAAAATATCACATACATTCATTAGTGTACTCAAAATTTTGAACAATAGTATTATTACAACAATAATATAATAACAAGAATAGCCTATGTTAATACCTATGTATAGCACTAATATTAACAAAGATAATAATAGAATTAAAAATAAAATAACAAAAAGAGCAAAAACATAAGAACTTTGGCGATGCATTTTTTAAAAAATAAATTATTTGTAAAATATTACATTAACTAAGGCACTTGTTTGATTGATTGTTTTTAAGCTTAAATAAGAAGATCATAATTTTTATTGATTAAAATATTTATACATCCATGCATACTTTTTTTTTCTTTGTAATAAGTAATACGTTTTCCAAGTACTTTTGCAATTAACATGAGATAATTTAAAAGATTTATAATTAATTACATTTCTATAATAACTTTTATAAAAATAACTTATGTTTTTAAAAATATATTACTGATGACATAAATATATATGGTTTTATAGATCATAATTTTTATATAAATGTATATATATAAATCCATCTAATGTATTATTTGGAGACAGGGGACTGGTATCCCCCTCTCGATTTGCAAAATTCCCGTGCAGGCTCCGGCCGCACGGTTAAAGAAAAAAAATAACTCTGCAAGTACAGCGTATGCAATTAGAGTGTACCTTTGCCCTCATTTTCACCTTTTTTTTTCAAAAAACAAAAAAATTTCATGACAACGTGGCAACGTCGTGTCCTCAAATAATACCTCGTATATAGACCAGTGGCTAAAATAATACGTTGGATACATGATTTTTTTTTGGGGACTGTCCCAAAACTATACAAATGTCCTCAAATAATACCTTGTATTTAAGAAATGTCCTCAAATGACACTCTGATTAGATTTATATGTATCTATCTATTTACATTTTTTCATCATTGAATGTAATGTTTAACGTATTAGCATGAACATCTGTAGAAAGTTATAAGAAAAATTCATATCCAAGCAATGTATAATTAATGGAAAGGAAAAGAGAATATGAAAATGATCGACTTTCGTTTCTTTGCAATTCTTGAGCATTAGAATAAACACAAAGTCAATGGTTATTTTTTTAATCCATACAGAAAAGATCAGAACTTGCTATAGGTGATCATAAGACCAGACGAAAGAACTAGGTGTTAAAATAAAGAGAATAAATTAAGGGGGTGTTTAAGTAAACAGAAGCTAGTAATTTGGCACTATAGCTGATCGTTATTTTTATTTTCGTATGCTTGTTTTGCAATGCGAGTGAGCTGTTCAGTCATAGCACGACCGGTTTCTTTGACGAGTGAGGTAAAATGGCCAAAGTCATTTTTAAGCAGGATGTAGGGATGATCGAACTCGACCATTCGTCCCTTCTCCATCACCAGGACTTTGTCACTGTCCATGATGGTGTTGAGTCGATGTGCGACAGTAAGTACAGTGCAGTTGGCAAACTTTTTACGAATGGTACGTTGGATGAGACCATCAGTGTGAGGATCGACATTAGCTGTGGCTTCATCAAGCATAAGAATTTTGTTGTTTCGAAGAATAGCTCGAGCAAGACAGACCAGCTGTCTTTGGCCGGCACTAAAGTTTGTACCACGATCAAATACCCGTGACTCTAAACCATTAGATCCAGTGAAAGCCTCCTTCAGCTCGACTTCTTCTAAAGCTGCCCAGAGCAGAGAATCTTGGAATTCGTTGAACGGATCCAAATTCTTCCTCAGGGTTCCAGAGAACAGAACAGGGTCCTGAGGTATAATAGAGATTTTTTTACGCAACTCTTCTAAATAAATAGATCCAGTATCCACTCCATCGATGTCAATGACTCCTTCGACCTTGGCCAAACGAAACAGAGCAGAGATCAATGAAGATTTACCGGCACCTGTTCTCCCAACAATCCCGACCTTCTCTCTAGGTTTAATCACCAATTCAAGTCCTTTAAGTACCGGTTGCTCTTCCTCGGAATAACGCATGAATACATTCTGGAACTTGATGCATCCCTCTGTTGGCCAATTTTCTGGTGCATGTACTGTTTTTGACGTCACTTGTAACCCTTTTTTTTTATCCTTCTTGGTCGGTTTATCTTCTGCAATATTCTCCTCAGGCGGTAAAAGTGAATACTCTAAAACTCGCTCTACCGACATCAGTTGATTCGTTACTTCAGCACCTTGACGCATTCCCCATTGAATCATTCCAGTCATCGACATTACTGTTGTTATAGCAAGACCTACTTCAGCTCCAGATATTCCGAAATCAAGCAGAATAAAAGTAAAAGTAACAATTGTCGTAAAGATAAAGCAAAAAATGTCTAAAGAAAAGCCGAAGGCTGTACTGGTTGCTATAAACATATACCATGATGAAGTATGAACGTCTTGAAATTTATCAAACTCGAATTTCAATATCTGCTGAGCTCCATAAGCTCGGATAGTTGTTAGTCCATTTATCGATGCATTTAAATGAGTAAATACCGGTGATCTCATCATTCCTTCGAGTCTCTTGATATTTTTACTAGTTTTTAAATAAACCTTTCTAATACAGTAAAATATAAACGCAATCACAAATAGTGGAATCAGAAAAACTGGATTTACAACACAAACGACAACTAATGATCCGCACATCATCAAAATTATTTGCCCAGCATCGAGAAGAGCTTTCGGAAGTAATTCGTCGATAGCTCCCATGTCTTTAGAGAATCTATTTAATATTCTTCCACTAGGATTCGTATCAAAAAATCGCATACTCGTTCTTATAAGAGCTCCAAAGGATCGGTCATGAAGGCTTTGACTGTTGCGAACACACAAAACGTAAAAAAGCAAAGATCTGGTGATTCCAACAATGAAAATTGATAAAACCAGTCCAGTGTAGATGTAAACATAGAGAATAGCTGGGTTAATGTCATAATTTTGTATATAACCGATTGGAGAAGAAGTGAAGTTTTTGGAAACAATAAAGTCTTTGTTACGAGACTCTTCTTCGTTCACGAGAATCGGAACGAAAAAATCACTAGCACTGGCTAAAAACTGAGTTAATACGAAGAAGATAGCAACAGTAATAACAAAACACCAGTTGCCTCCAGATGTGAAGTATTTGATAAAAATCGATCCTTGAATAACTCCTCTTGACGTTCCTTCCAGATTGTCGTTTTCAACATTCTTTTCGTCGTCATCTTCAGCATCAGTATCAGCACCACTAGGATCAGGAGTTCTACTGCGATTACTTAAACTAGACCACTGTCGACGCATACTGCTTTTTTCGGAGAAAGATTCATCGGTATCTTGTGATGAGTCAGAGGCTAGAAGAGTAGCATACTCTGGACATTGAGCGAGAAGGTCGACGTAGTTGGAGAACATTTTGGAGGATCCATGTTCAAGTAGGATAATGCCGTCGACGTCTTTAATGTACTGGAGCTGATGAGTAGCGAGGATTCTTGTTTTTCCTGATAAATATCTCTCTAGACATTCTTCAAATAGATGCTTGCCCACGTGAGTGTCAACAGCACTCAGTGGGTCATCTAAGATATAGAGATCTGCTTGACGATATACAGCACGAGCTAAATTGATTCTTGCTTTCTGTCCTCCTGACAATGAGCTTCCTCTTTCTCCGACTATTGTCTGGTCGCCTTGGGGGAATTGTTTGAAGTCACTCAGTAGTGCACAAACTTTGACGACTTTTTGGTAGCGTTGGCGGTCGTACGGTTGTCCGAAGATAATATTTTGCCGAACGGTCGAGCCAAAAACCCAAGCTTCTTGAGCAGCATAACTCAGCCCACCACGCACTTCTATGCTTCCTTCTGCTAGTGGAAGTTCACCAAGAATTGCAGAAATAAGTGAACTCTTGCCAGCTCCTACTGCTCCAATCACGACATACAGTTTTCCTCGTTCCAGCTTGATGGTAACTTTATTTAGAGTATTTTCTTGACTACTTGGCTCCCATTTTGCTGTCGCGTTTATAATCCTCACAGCCCAGTTATCACCATCTGGCTTATGATTCGCTACATGATTTATTGAGTTTACCAGATCCACTGCTGTTGTTACATTTTCATTCGGTTTTGCCTTTTCTATAACATCAGCATTATCATCATCAATGTACGGAATTTCTGATTTTAAGCGTTTCTCTTCTGGATTTGATTCATCAATAACTGATGATCTGTCAGGATAAGTCAATTTATTTAATTGACCAACTTCATCATACATCAAAAAATACTGTAAACGTCTCACTGCTACAATACACTCGGCAATTTCAGCAACACCACGAACGAACATTGCTGACATTGTATGGGCAAGAATATTAAAAAAGGAAGAGAATACAAATGCTTTTTCGGCAGTTATTTGTTGACTAAAAAACATCATTCCTACAAGTGTACAATAGATAGCTGCTCTTGTTGTAAATAAATTAAAAGTCATGAAAATTCCACGTATCCAAGAGAACTTTTGTACTACTTTAAGTTCCAATTTCCTAGCTAATGCTACCATAACACAGAAAGGCTTTTCCCAAGCATACATCTTAATTACTTGAACTCCTGATATTATTTCATCCATTAGTCTCACTCGTTCATCAGTTTTTATAGCAGTTTGAAGTCGGAATTTTGATGATAATTTTCCTGTATACGATTGGATAGGAACCACAACAAAAACAGCTGCTATTCCCAGTATGCCAGCGTAACCAGCTTCGACGTATAAAAAATATCCAATTATCAGTGCTGCAAGTGGGGCAGACCACATGTGATGAATGAATACTGATACCAAATCGAATCGATTGACATCATTAGCGATTAAATTTACAACTTTACCAGGTGCTGTGTCGCCAAAAGCAGTTGTGCTTAATCTTAGCGCCTGAAATGTTTACTTGTATTAATGGGATTAATTAAATGCTGTTATCTATAATAATTCTCTTTACAAGTGGAACTTAAAAATGAAATTTAACTTGCAGGAAAATTACTGTATTTTTCAAAACAATATAGATTTTCATTATATAAAAGAATGCTTAAGTATTTAATTTATTTTCAGTCATTAATGGAGTTTATTGAATTTAAGTTGAAATGGAAATTTTTGTTTAATATGAAAATTCTATTTTTATTGAATCAAGTATTTTTATTAATGACTGTCATTACAAAATAGATAGCAGTTAAGTATTTACATAAATCTACTTAAAGCAATTCCAAGAAAGTTTTAATTAATTTTAAAAACAATATAAATTATTTTTCTTAAGAATAAAAAATGATATTAGTACTTGAAATTCTTTTTCTATTTATAAATGAAATAAAATACACAAGTCATGTGACCGTCTCATTATACAGAACCACTATCAGAGTGTCTGTGGCTTTTGAAGTATCATTTTATACCAAGAAATAGAATAATAGAATCGTTCATTACCTTGCGATAAACTACTGAACAAACAGCTATTCTTATTTTACCACCCAGGTAGAATGCTCCGAAAATTGATTGGTTAATGGTAATTGCATTGATTCCTGTTGCTAGACAAATACCTCCTGCATACATCAGCGCATCATTGTAAGTCACTCCACCACTTTCTCGAAAATATCTCAGAAGTCTTCCTAAAAGAATGGGGGTTCCTAACCTGGAATAAGAATTTCTTTAACAAACTATTGGAGATTAATATCCAATGATATAAAAATGGGATGATCACAATAAGAACAGTACTGAGATGTAAAATATTCTTACGTTTGTTAGATTAAAACAGATTAGAGATTAAAGATTAAGTTAATTTTGGTTTGTTTAGAGCAATGAGAAAAATAATGCAGAGTATCAACATGGATTTAGAGCTTCTCTCATCTGCTCTTATTGGAACCATAGCGGAACCATTTGTTTCCCAAAATATGAAGCTAGTTGAATTAGAGAAAATGGTTACGTTTAAAAATTTTTTACATTAATTTTCTGAAAATATTTCAACACTGGTCTACATGAAATTTTCATTTTCTACTTGCGGTCTCTTATCATTGTTATATAAACATTACTTTTAAAGCTAGATAGCTGTCTCTTTGATAAAGTAATAATCAGTTGAATATGTTAATTGATAATTTTATTCATCAACTTACCTCAAAATGAATTCATTGAATGTATGAAGAACGCCATAGATAAAGTATTCCCACATAAAACACCGGAAAATTGTTGTTAAAAAATTCGGCCTCTTTTTTGACTTCTTCTTAGATTCTAATTCCAGGAACCATTGTCTAAAAACAGAGATTAAAATTCACTTTTGCAATTATTCATTTGTTAAACTAATTAATGACTAATGACTTACTTCTCCAGTCGATCGCCAAGAACTCCAGATCGATCAGTTTTCAATGGGTCAAACAGATCGGCAGGACCTAGAATTTTCGAGTATCCAGTTCTGAATAACTTAAGTGTCCAAGTCCAGAATAACACTGATAAAATGTTTGACTTCTCTCGGGGATTTGGATGAACTTTTGCCTTGCTTGCGTCCATGGTAATATTGAACTGGACATTAGCTCCACAGGTAATTGATCCAAAATGATCTCTAAGTACCTGCTGATGATGGATTTATCTTGACGTGGTTATTGCATAACATATGTAAGTACACTGAACATAAAAATAAGTACACTTTCACTTTTGATGTTGCTTGGAATAATATTGAAGATCACAATTATTTGGTATCTTATTAGGTAATTTGGAAACTGATGAAATAGTTGAATACTCTTTCTGAAATTTTTTCTAACTGTGAATGTATGTAAGGCTGACTAGTGTGTGATTGTCACTTGGCATTCCATTAGATATTCAAATCTGAAATGTTAAAGAAACAATTCATTGAGTTGTTTCTGATAAACAAGTTAATCAATTATTACTCATTAATTTTTAATTCATCATTTAAAATAACTTGTTTATTGAAGGACTTGATGTTAGCGTGTAGTTGAAAAATAAATGAATCATCTTCAAAGTGAAATAACGAATTTTTAAAATTGAATTTGATAGATATGATGAAATATCTTTAGTGCCTTTCTATATCATCCAATAATATCATTAGGATATCATAAAATTCATTATTTTAATTTAATAGCTGACACTAATCATTTTTTGTTGCAATTAATGTAAGTTAATGAATGGAATTAAACTTGAAACAATTTTTTTTTTAGGAATAGCAGAAGGATGTCATTATTTTTGTCACATCGTTCAGAAGCTTGAAAAAATTTTAGCCCTAGACTGGTCCCTTTATACGGAAATTCCTGCAACTCATCATCTTTTATTTTTTAAAGACAAACTTTTTTTCGAAAGGCATTGCAAAAATTTGTCTTTCCTTCTACAACGTTTTGAAAACAACTGACGTATTTAAAAAATTTATTTAAGGTAGTAACTATTAATGAAAAACTAATTCATAAACGTGTTTTTAATCCGTATTCCTATCAAAACGAGGATTGCGAGCAGCTTATTGCCTGCAGCATAGGCATTAATTATAAGTCAATAGAATTTATCTTAAACTATACAGAAACGTAGTTTCGAAAATGGCATTACAGCAAATTCCTATACGGATGACCAGTACTGCGATAATTAATTATGTGATTCGTCTGGGTTTAAAAATTTATAATTTGAAATTTTAGAGCGTAAAAGGATATTTAGAGATATTATAAAAAAGAATCAATGTCTGAATTAATTGATTTTTAGATATTTTTAGGAAGTTGTAATTTTTATTCATAAGGATCGCAAAAAAAGATGCAATAATTGGTACCATGTCATGTAAAAGCTTGAAGTGAGTTTTAAGTAAGAAAAATCTATGAATGACTCATTAATATTTTCATAGCATGATTGATTTTAATTAACATTTCAAACTAATATTAAAATTACAAAACAAATATACAATATTTACTCAATGATGACAAATGATTTTCAGTTATTTTTTTGCCATATTGATGTATCTGTAGATAACTCAATATATGATAAGTATAAATCATAATGTCATTCAAATTATGATAAAGAATAACGTTGATAAATATTGTATAATATGCATTAAGTAATATGTTCTAAAGAGAATGTACTTTATATAGAGAAGCAAAGGAATAATCTTCAATGTACTGTTATTTTAGTGTTGATTTTCAAACGATCTTGGATCATTTATGTGAGACTTTTAGTGCTGGTAATAGTTATTTAACTGCGTAGAGGAAGATTGCATACTCGATTACACTGTCTATCATCAACAGCCATAGAACAATGCAAGTATTCGTCTAATAGACTTAATTGTTAGATAAAGTTTTTTTTTCTTAACTGGCTTGTGCATTAACATAGATCAATTGGTGACGATTCACTTGCTTGAGATAATCTTAAATGATATTTTTCACAGAAGACGTGCAAAAAATCAAAAAAGCAACAAAAATTGTAGCATAGAAATGAAAAGTTCTTGGATTGAATGTCAGATTCTTTAAGTATTTTTTTAATTTTTTAATTTTCGAACTAAAAATCGTTTTTATTGAGTGTTACTGAAATTTTCTCTCTTTTACGAAATTTCAAGAAAGCGAAAAAGAACACCTTGGATAATAAAAAATTGTTCAAGTACATTTAAGCGTTAAAATTGTTAAATGAAGAAAATCTCAATTGTTCTTGCCACAATGTTTTTTTTTTCATTCAACTTATGATGATTCAAAGCAATAGTGATGATAAACAAATTTTTTGGAAGTAAAAAAAGTTTAGGGTTTAACAAAAAAAATTCGAGATTTTTCATACGTTTCACGATGTAAACTGAGTACTATTATTTTTGTTGGGAATAGAAAAGCTGAAAAAAGAAGTAATTTTTTTAATTTAGTGAATAACTCGTTTATATTTTTAGACGCTTAATAGTATAAGATTTTTGAGAAATATTATGGAATAATATGTTTATTAATTATTTCATTGAAAATTCTGAGCTCTATTTTGGATACAAATTTATAGAGATCACAACATTTAGTGAAAAAAATATTGGACTCATGCTTAGTTAGCATAAATTAGAAAAAAACAATTTAATATGTCAGATAAAAAGTATTATATCTGTTAAGAAGATTTTGTATGCTACACCGCTGAAACATTACATGACTTGCAAAATGAGTTGATAGCAGTCTTATATTAACAGATAGGACTATCTTATTTTTCTGATGAGTTTCCATTCTCTCTTTCTCTCTCATATTTATGACCCAATTATATTTAGTTAGAAATTGATTTTAAGTCAATTTAATTTACAGTTGATAAGATAATACCCATGGATCAATCAAAAATTATGCAAAACAAATAATATCTGAGCTGCTATTTTGTATGCCATTAATACAGAAATTCAATTACAGCCTTTTTGTATGTCACATGAAGCAATTATTTGAGCAGTGATCATTCAAGTGGTAATGAAACAATTGTTTTAGGCTTCAAACACGAGTATGTTAATTGATAAATTACTTTCAATATTTTTTGATCCACTCTATTATTAATGAACTCGATACTTTTCACACTATTACTGTAGTAACCATTACCTCGTGATGAAAAAACCAATTTTATTATTATATTTTAATTAATTAATTACTCTTAACAATACTTTATTATTTCAATGAACACGAATTAACTATGAATTAATAAACAAAGAAAAATAATAGACATTGAAAATATTCCTTACAAAATTATTATTGGATTGGATGTTAATATCTTTGAAAACCAAAATAAACTTTACAACAGTGTCTAATCAATTCTACCATTTGATAAAAAATATTTCTTTTAATTTACTCAATGATAACATTCAATTATAATTAATTATATTCATTCAGAGAAATTACAATACAGTACCCATCATAACATTAGTTTTTAAGCTCATAAATGGAAAATGAAAATAGTGACATGATAAATTAACAAGTTGAATCACAAATTAATAGTGTTATTATTGTTATTATTATTATTATTATTATTATTATTATTATTATTATTATTATTATTATTATTATTATTATTATTATTATTATTATTATTATTATTATTATTATCACTGACACTATTTAATGCTAATCAAGTTTAGTTGAAAATGGCTGTTGAGTGTTATTTTCACGAAAATGTTTTTATTCATTGATTCATACATTTAATGACATGAACAACATTGAAAGTAACCTAAAATAAATTAGAAAACAAAATATTAATGAATTAATACAATTAATTGATAGTCAACTCACCTTATTTACTCTGTTGTGTTAATAATTAATATTTAGATTGCATGATCAAGTTGAGACATAACTTGTAAATTCACTACAAATGATTTTCTTGGTTGTACTTTGGTTAGGTTATATTGATGATCTTTTGAGTTTTGTTAAAAAATGAAAACAATTTGACTTCACTAATGAATTCATAGACGTTTTTATGTGAATGCATAGATTTTGCCGTAGAAAATAATATAAAAGAAAATGTAACCTTGAAATAAATATAAAATAAATACAAAATTATCGACAGTACTACTCACAGCACTGTCGTAACAAAAGTGAGCTACCATATAGAAGTAAATGAGACGGAACTCAGCTGGCGATAATACAAATGTCAGCCTTTGCTTTCTGATTTATTGTGTGCGTGTTTCAAGCATGATATGATATGAAGATTACATAGCATTGCTACTATACAGCATGCGGATTTGTGTGAATAGTTCAGATCTAATGACCTTGTTCGTGATTCATAACTTACTAAAGATGCTTGTGGTGATAACCAGTATGAAATATAATGAATTTACTTACAACTAGAAATATATCATGAACAACAGATAATGATTAACTTTTTTTCAATTTTTAATTTATTATTATCAAATAGAGTAAAGTAATTCACTTATTTTTATAAGAAGTAGAGTAAAAATATTATATTACATATTTTAAATATGCATCTGTACAAATAGATAATTCAAAAAATACTGATAAATTGAGCACATGGGTCTTGATAAATAAATTTATTTTATTTGGTGATTTAATTTCTCTCGTTCTGCTTATAATCGTATGCTTGTTTTGCAATGCGAGTGAGCTGTTCAGTCATAGCACGACCGGTTTCTTTGACGAGTGAGGTAAAATGGCCAAAGTCATTTTTAAGCAGGATGTAGGGATGATCGAACTCGACCATTCGTCCCTTCTCCATCACCAGGACTTTGTCACTGTCCATGATGGTGTTGAGTCGATGTGCGACAGTAAGTACAGTGCAGTTGGCAAACTTTTTACGAATGGTACGTTGGATGAGACCATCAGTGTGAGGATCGACATTAGCTGTGGCTTCATCAAGCATAAGAATTTTGTTGTTTCGAAGAATAGCTCGAGCAAGACAGACCAGCTGTCTTTGGCCGGCACTAAAGTTTGTACCACGATCAAATACCCGTGACTCTAAACCATTAGATCCAGTGAAAGCCTCCTTCAGCTCGACTTCTTCTAAAGCTGCCCAGAGCAGAGAATCTTGGAATTCGTTGAACGGATCCAAATTCTTCCTCAGGGTTCCAGAGAACAGAACAGGGTCCTGAGGTATAATAGAGATTTTTTTACGCAACTCTTCTAAATAAATAGATCCAGTATCCACTCCATCGATGTCAATGACTCCTTCGACCTTGGCCAAACGAAACAGAGCAGAGATCAATGAAGATTTACCGGCACCTGTTCTCCCAACAATCCCGACCTTCTCTCTAGGTTTAATCACCAATTCAAGTCCTTTAAGTACCGGTTGCTCTTCCTCGGAATAACGCATGAATACATTCTGGAACTTGATGCATCCCTCTGTTGGCCAATTTTCTGGTGCATGTACTGTTTTTGACGTCACTTGTAACCCTTTTTTTTTATCCTTCTTGGTCGGTTTATCTTCCGCAATATTCTCCTCAGGCGGTAAAAGTGAATACTCTAAAACTCGCTCTACCGACATCATCTGATTCGTTACTTCAGCACTTTGACGCATTCCCCATTGAATTATCCCGGTCAAAGACATTATTGTTGTTATAGCAAGACCTACTTCAGCTCCAGATATTCCGAAGTCAAACAAAAGAAAGCTGAACGTAATAACTGTTATAAATAAAAAACAAAAAACGTCTAGAGAAAATCCGAAAGCTATACTTGTTGCTACAACTATGAACCATGATGAAGTATGAACGTCTTGAAATTTATCAAACTCGAATTTCAATATCTGCTGAGTTCCATAAGCTCGGATAGTTGTTAGTCCATTTATCGATGCATTTAAATGAGTAAATACTGGTGATCTCATCATTCCTTCGAGTCTCTTGATATTTTTACTAGTTTTTAAATAAACCTTTCTAATCCAGTAAAATATAAACGCAATCACAAATAGTGGAATTAGAAAGAACAGATTTATAACACACACTATGACTAATGATCCGCACATCATCAAAATTATTTGCCCAGCATCGAGAAGAGCTTTCGGAAGTAATTCATCAATGCCTCCCAAGTCTTTAGAGAATCTATTTAATATTCTTCCACTAGGATTCGTATCAAAAAATCGCATACTCGTTCTTATAAGAGCTCCAAAGGATCGGTCATGAAGGCTTTGACTGTTGCGAACACACAAATTGAAGAATAACAAAGATCTGGTGATTCCAACAATAAAGATTGATAAAACCAGTCCAGTGTAGATATAGATATAGAGAATAGCTGGGGTGATGTCGTAATCCGGTAAAGAGACAAGTGTAACATTTTTGGAAGAAAAAAAGACTCTATTACGAGACTCTTCTTCGTTTACTAAAATTGGGATGAAGAAGTCAGTGGCACTAACTAAGAACTGAGTTAATACATAAAAAATTGCAACAGTAATTACAAAACACCAACTGCCGGCAGATTTAAAGTATCCAATAAAAAGTGATCCCTGAATGACTCCTTTTGATGTAGCTTCAATGTTATCAATTTCCATATTTTTCTCATCGATTTCTTCAACATCAGCATCGCTTGATATTCTACTGCGATTACTTAAACTAGACCACTGTCGACGCATACTGCTTTTTTCGGAGAAAGATTCATCGGTATCTTGTGATGAGTCAGAGGCTAGAAGAGTAGCATACTCTGGACATTGAGCGAGAAGGTCGACGTAGTTGGAGAACATTTTGGAGGATCCATGTTCAAGTAGGATAATGCCGTCGACGTCTTTAATGTACTGGAGCTGATGAGTAGCGAGGATTCTTGTTTTTCCTGATAAATATCTCTCTAGACATTCTTCAAATAGATGCTTGCCCACGTGAGTGTCAACAGCACTCAGTGGGTCATCTAAGATATAGAGATCTGCTTGACGATATACAGCACGAGCTAAATTGATTCTTGCTTTCTGTCCTCCTGACAATGAGCTTCCTCTTTCTCCGACTATTGTCTGGTCGCCTTGGGGGAATTGTTTGAAGTCACTCAGTAGTGCACAAACTTTGACGACTTTTTGGTAGCGTTGGCGGTCGTACGGTTGTCCGAAGATAATATTTTGCCGAACGGTCGAGCCAAAAACCCAAGCTTCTTGAGCAGCATAACTCAGCCCACCACGCACTTCTATGCTTCCTTCTGCTAGTGGAAGTTCACCAAGAATTGCAGAAATAAGTGAACTCTTGCCAGCTCCTACTGCTCCAATCACGACATACAGTTTTCCTCGTTCCAGCTTGATGGTAACTTTATTTAGAGTATTTTCTTGACTACTTGGCTCCCATTTTGCTGTCGCGTTTATAATCCTCACAGCCCAGTTATCACCATCTGGCTTATGATTTGCTACATGATTTATTGAGTTTACCAGATCCACTGTTGTTGTTTCTTCTTCAATAACTGATGATCTGTCAGGATAAGTCAATTTATTTAATTGACCAACTTCATCATACATCAAAAAATACTGTAAACGTCTCACTGCTACAATACACTCGGCAATTTCAGCCACACCACGAACGAACATTGCTGACATTGTGTTAGCAAGAACATTGAAAAAGGAAGCGATTACAAATGCTTTTTCGGCAGTTATTTGTTGACTAAAAAACATCATTCCTACAAGTGTACAATAGATAGCTGCTCTTGTTGTAAATAAATTAAAAGTCATGTAGATTCCTCGTATCCAAGAGAATTTTTGTACTACTTTAAGTTCCAATTTCCTAGCTAATGCTACCATAATACAGAAAGGCTTTTCCCAAGCATACATCTTAATTACTTGAACTCCTGATATTATTTCATCCATTAGTCTCACTCGTTCATCAGTTTTTATAGCCGTTTGAAGTCGGAATTTTGATGATAATTTTCCTGTATACGATTGAATAGGAACCACAATAAAAACTGCTAATAATCCAATTATACCAGCATAGCCGGCTTCATCGTATAAGAAATATGCAATTATCAATCCAGACAGTGGTGATGACCACATGTAATGAAATAAGATGCATACTAAATCGAATCGATTGACATCATTGGCGATTAAATTTACAACTTTACCAGGTGCTGTGTCGCCAAAAGCAGTTGTGCTTAATCTTAGTGCCTGAAATGTTTACTTGTATTAATGTGAATATTAAAGTTCATTACGTAATCTTAGATTTTGTTGGAGTAATTTTTTGAATTACCTTGCGGTAAACTATTGAACAAACAGCTATCCTTATCCTACCACCTAAATGGTAACCTCCAAAAAGCGTTTGATTTAATGTGATTGCACTGATTCCTGTTGCTAGACAAATACCTCCTGCATACATCAGCGCATCATTGTAAGTCACTCCGCCATTTTCTCTGAAATATCTCAAAAGTCTTCCTAACAGAATCGGAATTCCTAGCCTGAAATAGAATTTTTCTAGATTAAACTTCGGCCAACGGAATTGGAGATGTCTGAGGGGTTGGAAAAGCTCTGTAACATAGGAGGTGTGTTGGACAAGATATTGATTAGTTAAGGTTGTTGGTTGATAATTTCATTTATCAACTTACTTAAGAATAAATTCATTGAATGCGTGAATAACACCGTAAAAAAAGATTTCCCACATAAAACACCGGAAAATTGTTGTTAAAAAATTCGGCCTCTTTTTTGACTTCTTCTTAGATTCTAATTCCAGGAACCATTGTCTAAAAACAGAGATTAAAATTCACTTTTGCAATTATTCATTTGTTAAACTAATTAATGACTAATGACTTACTTCTCCAGTCGATCGCCAAGAACTCCAGATCGATCAGTTTTCAATGGGTCAAACAGATCGGCAGGACCTAGAATTTTCGAGTATCCAGTTCTGAATAACTTAAGTGTCCAAGTCCAGAATAACACTGATAAAATGTTTGACTTCTCTCGGGGATTTGGATGAACTTTTGCCTTGCTTGCGTCCATGGTAATATTGAACTGGACATTAGCTCCACAGGTAATTGATCCAAAATGATCTCTAAGTACCTGCTGATGATGGATTTATCTTGACGTGGTTATTGCATAACATATGTAAGTACACTGAACATAAAAATAAGTACACTTTCACTTTTGATGTTGCTTGGAATAATATTGAAGATCACAATTATTTGGTATCTTATTAGGTAATTTGGAAACTGATGAAATAGTTGAATACTCTTTCTGAAATTTTTTCTAACTGTGAATGTATGTAAGGCTGACTAGTGTGTGATTGTCACTTGGCATTCCATTAGATATTCAAATCTGAAATGTTAAAGAAACAATTCATTGAGTTGTTTCTGATAAACAAGTTAATCAATTATTACTCATTAATTTTTAATTCATCATTTAAAATAACTTGTTTTTTAAAGTTTTTGATAGTCACAAGTGGTTCAATAATAATTTAATCATTGTTGAAGAAAAATGGAGAATTATATATTTTTTCGATTAAGATGGATGTGTTTGAATATCTTATCTTTTTATCTGTTTATCTGGTAATAATCATTTAGCTACGTAGAGGAAGATTGCATACTCTTGTTCATCAACGTGAATCAATAGGTGAAAATTGTTAAATGAAGAAAATCTCAATTGTTCTTGCCACAATGTTTTTTTTTTTCATTCAACTTATGATGATTCAAAGCAATAGTGATGATAAACAAATTTTTTGGAAGTAAAAAAAGTTTAGGGTTTAACAAAAAAAATTCGAGATTTTTCATACGTTTCACGATGTAAACTGAGTACTATTATTTTTGTTGGGAATAGAAAAGCTGAAAAAAGAAGTAATTTTTTTAATTTAGTGAATAACTCGTTTATATTTTTAGACGCTTAATAGTATAAGATTTTTGAGAAATATTATGGAATAATATGTTTATTAATTATTTCATTGAAAATTCTGAGCTCTATTTTGGATACAAATTTATAGAGATCACAACATTTAGTGAAAAAAAATATTGGACTCATGCTTAGTTAGCATAAATTAGAAAAAAACAATTTAATATGTCAGATAAAAAGTATTATATCTGTTAAGAAGATTTTGTATGCTACACCGCTGAAACATTACATGACTTGCAAAATGAGTTGATAGCAGTCTTATATTAACAGATAGGACTATCTTATTTTTCTGATGAGTTTCCATTCTCTCTTTCTCTCTCATATTTATGACCCAATTATATTTAGTTAGAAATTGATTTTAAGTCAATTTAATTTACAGTTGATAAGATAATACCCATGGATCAATCAAAAATTATGCAAAACAAATAATATCTGAGCTGCTATTTTGTATGCCATTAATACAGAAATTCAATTACAGCCTTTTTGTATGTCACATGAAGCAATTATTTGAGCAGTGATCATTCAAGTGGTAATGAAACAATTGTTTTAGGCTTCAAACACGAGTATGTTAATTGATAAATTACTTTCAATATTTTTTGATCCACTCTATTATTAATGAACTCGATACTTTTCACACTATTACTGTAGTAACCATTACCTCGTGATGAAAAAACCAATTTTATTATTATATTTTAATTAATTAATTACTCTTAACAATACTTTATTATTTCAATGAACACGAATTAACTATGAATTAATAAACAAAGAAAAATAATAGACATTGAAAATATTCCTTACAAAATTATTATTGGATTGGATGTTAATATCTTTGAAAACCAAAATAAACTTTACAACAGTGTCTAATCAATTCTACCATTTGATAAAAAATATTTCTTTTAATTTACTCAATGATAACATTCAATTATAATTAATTATATTCATTCAGAGAAATTACAATACAGTACCCATCATAACATTAGTTTTTAAGCTCATAAATGGAAAATGAAAATAGTGACATGATAAATTAACAAGTTGAATCACAAATTAATAGTGTTATTATTGTTATTATTATTATTATTATTATTATTATTATTATTATTATTATTATTATTATTATTATTATTATTATTATTATTATTATTATTATTATTATTATTATTATTATTATTATTATTATTATCACTGACACTATTTAATGCTAATCAAGTTTAGTTGAAAATGGCTGTTGAGTGTTATTTTCACGAAAATGTTTTTATTCATTGATTCATACATTTAATGACATGAACAACATTGAAAGTAACCTAAAATAAATTAGAAAACAAAATATTAATGAATTAATACAATTAATTGATAGTCAACTCACCTTATTTACTCTGTTGTGTTAATAATTAATATTTAGATTGCATGATCAAGTTGAGACATAACTTGTAAATTCACTACAAATGATTTTCTTGGTTGTACTTTGGTTAGGTTATATTGATGATCTTTTGAGTTTTGTTAAAAAATGAAAACAATTTGACTTCACTAATGAATTCATAGACGTTTTTATGTGAATGCATAGATTTTGCCGTAGAAAATAATATAAAAGAAAATGTAACCTTGAAATAAATATAAAATAAATACAAAATTATCGACAGTACTACTCACAGCACTGTCGTAACAAAAGTGAGCTACCATATAGAAGTAAATGAGACGGAACTCAGCTGGCGATAATACAAATGTCAGCCTTTGCTTTCTGATTTATTGTGTGCGTGTTTCAAGCATGATATGATATGAAGATTACATAGCATTGCTACTATACAGCATGCGGATTTGTGTGAATAGTTCAGATCTAATGACCTTGTTCGTGATTCATAACTTACTAAAGATGCTTGTGGTGATAACCAGTATGAAATATAATGAATTTACTTACAACTAGAAATATATCATGAACAACAGATAATGATTAACTTTTTTTCAATTTTTAATTTATTATTATCAAATAGAGTAAAGTAATTCACTTATTTTTATAAGAAGTAGAGTAAAAATATTATATTACATATTTTAAATATGCATCTGTACAAATAGATAATTCAAAAAATACTGATAAATTGAGCACATGGGTCTTGATAAATAAATTCATTTTATTTGGTGATTTAATTTCTCTCGTTCTGCTTATAATCGTATGCTTGTTTTGCAATGCGAGTGAGCTGTTCAGTCATAGCACGACCGGTTTCTTTGACGAGTGAGGTAAAATGGCCAAAGTCATTTTTAAGCAGGATGTAGGGATGATCGAACTCGACCATTCGTCCCTTCTCCATCACCAGGACTTTGTCACTGTCCATGATGGTGTTGAGTCGATGTGCGACAGTAAGTACAGTGCAGTTGGCAAACTTTTTACGAATGGTACGTTGGATGAGACCATCAGTGTGAGGATCGACATTAGCTGTGGCTTCATCAAGCATAAGAATTTTGTTGTTTCGAAGAATAGCTCGAGCAAGACAGACCAGCTGTCTTTGGCCGGCACTAAAGTTTGTACCACGATCAAATACCCGTGACTCTAAACCATTAGATCCAGTGAAAGCCTCCTTCAGCTCGACTTCTTCTAAAGCTGCCCAGAGCAGAGAATCTTGGAATTCGTTGAACGGATCCAAATTCTTCCTCAGGGTTCCAGAGAACAGAACAGGGTCCTGAGGTATAATAGAGATTTTTTTACGCAACTCTTCTAAATAAATAGATCCAGTATCCACTCCATCGATGTCAATGACTCCTTCGACCTTGGCCAAACGAAACAGAGCAGAGATCAATGAAGATTTACCGGCACCTGTTCTCCCAACAATCCCGACCTTCTCTCTAGGTTTAATCACCAATTCAAGTCCTTTAAGTACCGGTTGCTCTTCCTCGGAATAACGCATGAATACATTCTGGAACTTGATGCATCCCTCTGTTGGCCAATTTTCTGGTGCATGTACTGTTTTTGACGTCACTTGTAACCCTTTTTTTTTATCCTTCTTGGTCGGTTTATCTTCCGCAATATTCTCCTCAGGCGGTAAAAGTGAATACTCTAAAACTCGCTCTACCGACATCATCTGATTCGTTACTTCAGCACCTTGACGCATACCAAACTGTATTTTTCTTGTTATCGCTAGTACTGTTGATATTGCTAGACCAACTTCGGCACCTGAGATTCCGAAGTCAAACAAAAGAAAGCTGAACGTAATAGCTGTTATAAATAAAAAACAAAAAATGTCTGATGCAAATGCAAATGCTATACTCGTTGCTAAAAACATGTACCAAGATGAGGTATGACGATCTTGAAGAATATCAAACTCTGCTGTTAGAACGTTCTGTGCTCCGCATGCTCTTATTGTTCTGAGACCGTTAATTGTAGTATTTAAATGAGTAAATACTGGTGATCTCATCATTCCTTCGAGTCTCTTAACATTCTTACTTGTTTTAAGGTAGATTTTTCTTAACCAGTAAAATATGAATACAATTATTAATATGGCAATTAAAAAGAAAGGATTTACAACACATACAATAATTAATGATGCCACCATCAGTGCTATTATTTGGCCTGAATCAAGCAACGCTTTAGGAAGTTGTTCATCAATAGCTCCTATGTCTTTAGAGAACCTATTCAGTATTCTTCCACTAGAGTTTGTATCGAAAAATCGCATACTTGTTCTTATAAGAGCTCCAAAAGCTTGGTCATGCAGACTTTGACTGTTATTTACACAGAATTGGAAAAACACAAATGATCTGATGATTCCAATGACAAATATTGACAGGACTAGTCCTGAGTAGATGTAGATATACTTGAGAGCCGGTGTGATATTGTAATTATCAATATAATTACTGGTGTTTATTGGTAAAGTATGATTACGAGATGTGAAGTGGCTTTTATATCTTGATTCTTCTTCGTTTACGAGAATAGAGATAAAGTAATCAACTCCACTTGTGGTGCATTGTGTTAAAATAAAAAATAATCCTACTGTGATAATCAAACCCCAGCTACAACCAGATGTGAAGTATTTAATCAAAATAGATCCTTGAATGACTCCTTTTGATGTAGCTTCAATCGTATCCATTTTGAAGCAATTGTCGTGATAATCTTCAGTATCAGCATCCGTGTAACTGGCTTCTGAAGTCCTACTACTTATACTTATACTGGATTTAGTTCGCATCCGTATGTGACATTTTTCAGAGAAAGATTCATCGGTATCTTGTGATGAGTCAGAGGCTAGAAGAGTAGCATACTCTGGACATTGAGCGAGAAGGTCGACGTAGTTGGAGAACATTTTGGAGGATCCATGTTCAAGTAGGATAATGCCGTCGACGTCTTTAATGTACTGGAGCTGATGAGTAGCGAGGATTCTTGTTTTTCCTGATAAATATCTCTCTAGACATTCTTCAAATAGATGCTTGCCCACGTGAGTGTCAACAGCACTCAGTGGGTCATCTAAGATATAGAGATCTGCTTGACGATATACAGCACGAGCTAAATTGATTCTTGCTTTCTGTCCTCCTGACAATGAGCTTCCTCTTTCTCCGACTATTGTCTGGTCGCCTTGGGGGAATTGTTTGAAGTCACTCAGTAGTGCACAAACTTTGACGACTTTTTGGTAGCGTTGGCGGTCGTACGGTTGTCCGAAGATAATATTTTGCCGAACGGTCGAGCCAAAAACCCAAGCTTCTTGAGCAGCATAACTCAGCCCACCACGCACTTCTATGCTTCCTTCTGCTAGTGGAAGTTCACCAAGAATTGCAGAAATAAGTGAACTCTTGCCAGCTCCTACTGCTCCAATCACGACATACAGTTTTCCTCGTTCCAGCTTGATGGTAACTTTATTTAGAGTATTTTCTTGACTACTTGGCTCCCATTTTGCTGTCGCGTTTATAATCCTCACAGCCCAGTTATCACCATCTGGCTTATGATTTGCTACATGATTTATTGAGTTTACCAGATCCACTGCTGTTGTTACACTTTCATTCGGTTTTGCCTTTTCTATGACATCACTATTATAATTACAATTAACATCATGATTGATTAAATTGGGCAACATCCTCGTCTTTTCATTCATAACTCCTTGATCATTATCATCATCATCGTTATCATCATCAGTAAATTGCTTCTTTTCTGTCGAAGAAACCTTAATCGTTTGATTTATTCCACCTACTTCATCATACATTAAGAAGTATTGCAATCTTCGAATCGCTACTATACATCCGGCTGCTTCAGTTACACTGCGTACAAACAATGATGACATTGTTTGCGAAAGAATATTAAAAAAGGAAGAAAACATAAAAGCTTTTTCAGCAGTTAACCTCTGATTACAAAGCATCATTCCAACAAGAGTACAATAAATAGCAGCTCGTGTTGTAAATAGTTCAAATGTTAAAAAAACTCCACGAATCCATGAAAATTTTTTGATGATATTTAGCTCTAGTTTTCGAGTCATTGCAATCATTACACAAAAAGACTTCTCCCAAGCATACATCTTGATCACTTGAACTCCTGATATTATTTCATCCATCAATCTAACTCTCTCATCAGTTTTAATGGCTGTTCGCAATCGAAACTTTGATGATAACTTTCCTGCGTATGTTTGAATAGACACCACAAAGAAGACTACAGCTACTCCAAGCACTCCAACACATCCAACTTCTGAATACAGGATGTAACCTACTATCAAAGCTGATATTGGAGCAGACCACATGTGGTTCATGATGCTGGTTACTGTGTCAAACCTACTAACATCATTAGCTATCAAATTCACCACTTTTCCTGGTGCAGTATCTCCAAATGATGTTGTGCTAAGTCTCAATGCCTGCAATTAATAAGTTAAGTTAACATATTGGTTCTTTTTTAATCTTATTTTTTAAACAAGAAAAATAATTATCTATGTATATTTTTATCATAGATCATTAACTTTTAATTAATGATCATTATTGTGTCCTTTATTCGTATCTAAACTTTTTAAGAAACAATTCAATCATCAATATTCAAGTGTAGCATTCAATTGAAGTTTTTCTATAAATCACATTGTTTGTAATTAACATTATGTTTTAATAAACTTTTAACAGGTTCATTAATTAAGACTGATTATATAATTATAATATATCATATCATTATTAATATTGAAATTAGTTTTGTTACTCATTCATTATGAATCTAAAGTCACTGTGAATTAAATAAATATACATTTATGACTATTTATAGTTTTTAATTATGAATGAGTAATTCTAGTTATTAAAAATAATTACAATATAGATTTCTGAATTGTTAAAATAGTAAAAAATTTTTTAATTAATATATAATGAATATTTTATATGAATAAATGGTTAATTAAAACATTACTGAAATAGAAATTGATTTTATCGTAATGTTATAAGATTACCAAAAAAATCCTCATTTCATCCTTGTTAAATGACTAGTTATTAATTTAGTAATATGAATTATAAAATTATTAATTACTTTGGTAGTTAATAATTTAAAAAAAAAACTATCTCTAATTATCTTTGTAAATTGTGATTTCATTTCAAATATTACCAATGACTTTGTTAAATTTTAATTTGATTTATGAAATTACCAATTACTTTATAGATTTCCTAATAACTAATATACGTTAGTCATTTATGTATGTATTTTCCGTTTTTCTGAAACAAGATAAGATATAAGATTGTCGTCAGGAAATTTAACGTCAGACAATGAATAGCAATCTGATGCAGAATGTAAACAGATGGGCATAAGTTTAATGAATATTCTTACGTCAGGGTTGGTTACTATTAAAAATGAAATAATCTATATTGATAATTTTATTTTCGAAATTATCAATTAATTAAGTAATGATGAATTAACAATTTTTTTGCCGATTATTGGTTAGCCGTAATTAGAGAACTCTGGTTTGTTATCGACTGTAGACTAATAAGATATTTATTATATTTTTTCTGTACTGAACAATATTCTCGAGGGTGCGCTGTACTTATTTGGATAATTAATTCATCTGTCGGATTTGAAAAATTACATTTATTTTTTTTTAATGATAAAATATTTCTAATAAAAAAAAAAAGATTTCTGATAGGTAAATTATTATATAGAGATAAATGTATTATAAATGTCAACCATCAATTTGATTTTACAGTAGTATTTTTTTATTAATGATTAAAAAAATTTTAGCTTATTAAGGTAGTTCTTTCGCTCCGGGCCGTATCAAAAAATAAGTACAGGCCCTCCAAAATATAATTTATTTTTTATTCAAATTATTGATAGATTTCTTACTTTCCGATAGATGATTGAACAAACAGCTATTCGAATCCTGCTACCAATATTATTTGTCCCAAATGCTGATTGGTTCATGGTAATTGCATTCATTCCTATCGCTAAACTTATTCCTGCAGCGTATATCAGTGCTTCATGGTAATTTGTTCCACTGTTTTCTCGAAAGTATCTTAAAAGTCTTCCTAGAAGTATCGGTGCTCCTAATCTAAGAGAAAAAATTATCATTAGAATTATTCCATTATTTTCCCTTTTTTAAGAAATTCTGTTAAGTTTTGATTTTTATTTACCTAAGGATAAACTCGTTAAATGCATGAAGAATACCATAAAGTATAAATTCCCACATAAAACAACGAATAATTGTTGCAAAAAAACTTGGTTGTCCTTTAGATCTCTTTTTTGTTTCTAATTCTTGATACCATTCTCTAGGTGATGAATTAATTAGATTATTATTTCTTGTTAATGAATATTCAATAATTTTTAAGTAACAATGTTCTGAGAACATATAATATATATTTATTTTGAATGATTAATTAAGCCGTTAATTATAATTAATGTTGATATTTTAAATGAAAAAATTTTTAGAGCTTTAAGAGTTTGTACCATAACTATTTTTAGTAATATTCTATAATTTTTTTAACATTCTGAAAATTGTAAAAGTTTTAAAAAAGAAAATTAAATTAAAAAAAATGTTATTGTTTAAAATTTAACATTTTTGAACAAAGGAGAAATACCTAGAATATTTTTCCTACAATTATTTTAGAAATCATTCTGTAAATTTTTTAATGATCATGAAAAACGTCTTTCAAATTAAATGAAAACAAACAAAACAAGAAAAAAGTTTTTATTCGATAATTTCGTCTTAATAACAAAATATTTAGAATTTTTGGAACTCTTTACAGATTTTTTTAATTAACGTAAAAAATACTTCTATTCTAGATAAAATATAAAATATAATAAATTTTATTCTACTACTTTTAGAAATGAAAACGAATGTTTTTTAAATTAAACAACAGAAAATAATGAAAATTTTCATTTAATCATTTTCGGTGAATAATAAAATATATTGCGAATTTTTCTAGAATTTCATTAACAATCATAAAAAAAAATTATTTTTCACCAAATATTTGATTTACCTTTCTAATCGATCTCCAAGAACATCTGAACGATCTTGGTTCAGTGGATAAAATAAATCTTCAGGACCTAAATCTTTAGTATACCCTGTCTTAAATATCTTATATGTCCAAGTCCAAAACAATACTGCAAAAAAATTCGACTTTTCCCTCGGATTGGGATTAACATACTTTCTAGTGCCCATCACAACTAAACCACTTACAAAAAAACTTTTTTTTCAAATAGAAGAAAAAAAAATGAATTGTCTTACTTATTTATTAGTTATTAACAATAATTGAAAGTTTATCAACATAATTGATATTTAAAAAATAATAAAAAATTATTAAACGTGCAGATTATTGTTTACTTAAGAACCACCACACTTTAACAATCTCCAAGTGAGTCTGATACTAGTATTTATTTTATTTTCAATTTTCTCAACGTTAAAAAATTCACTTCCGACTAATTACGCAATCAAGATAATAATTAATGCTTCTATGGCTATTTTGTATTAACTCAAGTTTATCTATACATGATCTTATTAGTGAAGAAAACTTTTTACATTGTGTTATATGAACACAAATCCATTTACATGACTATTAGATTATTATTGTTCACTAGCGTTTTTTTTCTTTATTTTAAAGCCATTCACATGCCGCAATTATATACTGCACTTAATTAACATTGAAAAAATTCAAGGATTGCAAAGAGAAGGACGGTTTAAAAGATTGAGTTTGATTTAGAAGTATAAAAATATATATAATTTCAATATAATTGTTTATCCTTGTGTTCATGCATACATTAGATATTTAGCT